TATTTCTGGGTTAAAGTTTCGTAAGCCAACAGTGCCTCATAGTCACATATTGTGAGCTTGACTTATGATTAATGTACTTCAGTATTCTGAAAATATAACAACAACTGTGTCTGTTTTTCTACTTAACCACTTAGTTTTGTTCCATAGTACTAGTAAAATATTTATTTCAGTTTATATTCACTGATCAGACAGGCACTTTCGATTTTAGCGACTGAAGTATCATTGAGGGCACGCACGTGGTCGTAGCTTCGAAGTCAGTCTACATCTCTGTCTCCCTGGATTGCATTTAGCTGTAACCAGAACTATCACTTTCACCTTTTAAAATTAATTCAGAGAACTTGTTTTAATCAATTTCAGTTTTGAGTACTAGGTCAGAATATGATTCTCTCCCTTAAAAGACTTAAGGTTGCTATAAATTTTCAGCAGCAAAAGTAATCTTATGAAAAAAAAATTCCACAAGCAGATGGCTTTTGATATATCAAGGTTTTGCCATTTGTTTTAGTGCTTAAAATAAACATTATTTATAAGACCACTTACATTTTGATGTTACTTAATGAGGAATATGCATCATTGATTTGACTAGCTTAAGAGGTCATTTAGAACTTGCCCGTTAACAAGCTGTAATCTGCTGAGCACACAATGACTTTGTTTAAAATTATCTGTTCAGTGCTGATCAATGACAATAATTGTTTTGTACCAATCACTGTTGAAACTTGCTAATTACTTTGAAGGGCATACACACTTGTCTTTTTTTTTTTCAAGAATTTTTTAAACATTCACCTTGGAATTAAAAAGTAATATAGTCATAGTATTATACTCCCTTATAAAAGCAAACATTTAGAAGTTTCACATTGAAAATAGGAACATCATCAGAAGGTTTGTGTAAAATGTTCTTTTCCAAAAAGAATGATCTTCAGTTTTGTGATCTCTGACATACAGAATTTAGCATAAAATAATTTAAGACACAATGCAGGTTTTCTTAGTTATGTTTCATTCAGTTGAAATCAGTGAGGTCATTCTGCATAGAAAATGGTGTAAAGGTAGAATGCAGCATTTTTTTGGTACACTGAGCCCATTGGAGATAATTATAGCTTTATACAATTTGAGTCTTTTGTCTTTCAATTTGAGTTTTGATCCTTTAACCCAGAAATATCCAGTTCTGCATTTATAACTGTGAGGTGAAGACTGTCAGAAAGAGTTTCAAAGGGACCATAATCCTGCATTAATGAGCATGCAGCTATCTGAGAGCCAAGTTGGTCTTGTTGAGAAATGTTGAAGCCAAACAGAAAAACAAAGCTAAGATCCTTATTCACATGCAAAGGATTTTGCTTAATCCCGGATCTCTGAAGGCATACTCATTCTTTTCTTTCTCTATCCCTTTTTAACCCAATGAGCTTGTGTATGAGAAAATAGAGTTGCAAAGAGTATGAAATTTACTATCACCTAGTGCAAAAAAGCTTGTCTAGTGCTTAACCTTTCTTGTTCCCATGTTCAGCTGCTCACATAACTATTATTTATTCATATTATAACAATGTCTAGAGGTCCAAAGCCTTTTTATAAAAAAAAAACACCAAAGAAACAGCAACACACAGGTTAAAGAAAATGCCAACTTTTAAAATTAGTTCTGAGTCTCATTTGAGAAGAGAAGAAAAAACATGGTGATGCACAGAGGGGCCATAGAAGAGTGTAGCAGTGAATATCCTCTTATTGCTAGTAGCTTTACTGCATCTTTGTATTTTCTTGGTGACACGTTATTCAAAGACTTATTGAGAGCTTTCCTATGGTACTTATTCTTTTGTTAAATCTCACATAAAGAGATAATAACAACTGTACCACAAGGTGCCATCAGTTGAGACTGAATGCTAGTTTTTTCTACTTAAAAGAATCGTCTTTTTTCTTTTGTTGTTGCAAAATGGTACTAAAGTATGAAAATATGCAACCCTGCCTTAGTTACTGTACTTATAGATGGCTCCAGTGTGTTACTGTTTTCAGCTCAGGCAACAGCTGGAGATGGAAAATTACAATAACTTTTGTCAGTTATCACAGTGGTATAGAACTGGACTGCAATGGAACTGGAAGGAGTAGAGAGAATTTTGCCTGTTACAGAAGAGCACTTCCAAGACTTGATGATAAAAACTCTCAAGTCACTGAGTACAAAGGATGACTGATAGAGTTGGCAATGGGCAGATTTTTTTCTCCTTGCCGTCTTCCTGATTTAAACACAACAAAAGATGACATACTTTTTTTTCCTTTTTTTAACATGCTTCTTTTGAGAAAGAGATAAGGTAAGAAAAAAAAACCAACCAACACAAACACATGGATTGCACTCCACTTACCAAGTCATACCATCTGGAGAAAGAAAGGTTGATATAAATGGTAAAAAAGAAAAACATTCCTTGTAGTTACACTGAAGAGTTCTTGAAAAGTTTAGTAGTCAGAGGCCCACAGGAAAAGGAGAGCTCTTGGAAAATTCTAGACTTCTTCTCTTCAATGTGCTTGGTTAAAATGAGTACTTTTCAACTTCTGGATCATAAGACCTCCGTCTTCTTGCTTTTTTCATGTAGATTCTGCCTTTCAAGCTGTTCTGTCTCTTAAGATTTCAAAGGTGTAAAGGTGAAAGGGAAGTTGGAGCAGGA